GATAAGATGAATTCAAGGGAAAGCATTAAAGAAAAGGTTCAATGTGTCAAGGACCTAGGTCCCTGCAAGCCAGATCTTATCCATGAAAATATGGCAAAGAAGAAAATGGATCATACACGCTAGATCAAATCGTTTATGTATCAGAGAAATCCTAGAAACATTTAAAATGACTGAAGCAAAATGTGCATCCACGCCATTAGACCCCAGCATAAAATATAAGAAGGTAGATGAACAACAGTGGGAGGAAATCAAAGAAAACAGCAAGGAAATCCCTTACAGACAAGCTATAGGAAGTCTCCTTTATCTGACCTGTGGTACTCGTCCAGACATGGCTTATTCTTCCACCTACATGAGCCAATTTAATGCGAAACACACTGAAGAACACTGGAGAGTGTGAAGCACATTCTAAGATACCTAAAGGGAACACAACACAGAAAGTTGAGATTCCAGAAGACCAGTGAGCCACTTCAAGTCTACTCAGATGCTGACTGGGGAGGTGACAGAACTGACTGTAAATCTTACAGTGGTTATATAATGCTACTCGCAGGTGCTCCAATCTCATGGTCGAGCAAGAAGCAATCCACAACAGCTTTATCTTTGACAGAAGCAGAGTATGTGGCAATGTGTCACGCTGCAAAGGAAATCCTATGGATTAAAAATTGAATTAGCTGCTTCACCTCAAAAAGTGCTAGTCGACAATCAGGGAGCAATCTTCTTAGCCAAGAACCATGTTACTTCTGAAAGAAGTAAACACATCAATATTAAATTTCATTTTCTGAGAGACCTAGTGAAAGGAAATGTGATTATATTTGATCATGTGCCATCCAGCGACAATTTCGCTGATCTCTTAACTAAGCAGACCCCGAAAAAACTTTTACGTGACATGAACTAAAGCCAGGACTTGCATGTAAAAATGATCTCCTTTGAAGTTTATGACTGAACATAAACCATTATGATAGTGACTGTGTAGAGACTTGACTTAAAATTTCAGAAAGAAGCCTAGATACAAACTTTTCTTAATTGTTTTCATGTAAACATAGTGTTTCCTAGTATAACTTAATATGTGTTCATTTAATGATGTATTTCATAAGTAGAGGTCGACAGTGTTTATGCATGTAATAGGAGCTACATTGTTTTTCTGTAAATGTGTACAACCACAGCGTGATTAATTTTTGTGGAAGTATGTAAATATCTTGCAAATAGTGTGACTGGCAAGGGGGCATGTTAAAAATATGTGTATATGTGCCAGTCCCAACATTTACTTTATGAAATTTTGCAACAGTAGTGTTGTTGTCATTCAGTCCCTATATGGTGTGCATTGCTGTGGTTGCTTGTTCCCATGTAACCTAACATTCCCAATATATTTTTTATTGTTCAACCTGGATTATGTCGTTTCTTTAACCCATGAATAACTCAAACTTTATCAAATTGTTGGATCAAAGTATACTAAACACTAGAACCTGAATCTGGAGGTTTGTCATTAGAAACACCTAATAGAAATTCTGCTAGTGATAACGAAATTACATTGTATTATTAGATTCATATCCCAAAGGTCTAGAATTAATGACTTCATAGTCACGAACCACATGGTTCTTTATACTTGAGACCAAACCTTACCAAAGACTGTCTCAATAAATTTGCTCTAGAAGAGATTTTATGAACTGATTCTTTAAATTGAGTGAGTGGAAGGGGGAAAGCAGTACTTCTTCAGAGTTTACCTGTTGAGAGCTCATGCTGGCAGCTTGGCAGAAAAGTTCGATTCCTAGTTTAGAGGTGCTCATTTTCTTCTCCTCCCATGATAAAAGTGAATTAATTTTTATCACTTCTCCCCTTTTTGAGATTTTTTTATTCCAGAGTTTTACTGAGAGTTCTCTGCAGAAAAGAGGTTTTATGAAATCTAAAACGTACAAATGAAATAAATCAGAGTTAGCGGTTCAATGGAGCTGATTCTCCTTATCCAACTGCTTGTTTAAATTTTTTTGGTCTTTGCTAATTGTATCTCTCCATTCTCTTCCAGTTCCCAGTTTTATTCATCAAGGTTACTGCTAATGAGCAGCGAGTCATAAAAAAGAATCAATTCACTTCATTGAGCAAACAGAACAAGGCCAAAATACTATCCCTGTTTTTCCTCTAGAACTCAAATACAATGGACCTATCTAATCTACTTCAGAATCTTCAAATGCTTGTATATGACCAATGTGATCTTGAGATAAATTTGCAAATGGTACTTTTGAAAATGCAGCTTTACACCTTTTAACATACAACACAGTCGTAAATCACGTTTCACCATTTTTTTCACTTTCATAACTTTCAATCTTGCAAGCAGAAATTGTAATCTGCAGTAAATATTGATAAGGCACTTGACACTATAATATATTCAGACAGTAGTAATACCGGAATTTTGAATTCTTCACTTTCAATGCTTCGCAGGAAATTTGTTAAGACTCTCAACAAACCATTGTCATCCCTGAATACCTGTATATTTGAAAAGGTTTTAATTTCTTCCTAGAAATTCTGACTACTCTATTTTAAGAAAGGTTTATTTCAGCTTCCTGCACTTTATGCGAGTTGAACTATTCTTTTCCCCAGTTGACAATTATGGTAATACCTAGAGATCTACACAATTATACTAATTGCCTTGTTGTATCTTAATGAATATAAAAGTCTGGAAGAACACTCATTATCATAATAAATGATAATTGTGCATTCAATTAGTTTTCTTTTGCTCAAAGTTGATTTCATTTTCAGAAACTTTGCAGTTGTCTTTAACCTACCAAGAGTTATGGACACAAAATTCTATATCAAAGGATGGCTTTTCCATTTGTTACACAAGAAAAATGGCACCAGATTTTTATCAGTTCGATTTCAGGTTGGATGCATATTGGAAGAAGAGTAGTTAAAAATACAAAGTGAGATGGTCAGTTTAGAATTCTAATAAAAAAATGCCTATTCAAGACATTTTGGGGAACTTTAAAGGCAAAACATGTAATGTTCCATGGGTTAACTCACTCTCTGGGATCTTTTCTTGAGCCACTGCATGGCCTCCTACCATTTACTGCAGACAATAGGTTTTTAAGGTTGCATCTACGAGATGGGAGATTAGCTAGATTAAAAATCTCCACTAAATGACACCAGTCCATAATCATTATCTATTTTCTTCCATCTTTTGGCAATCAGAGCAATGAAATCCTGAACAACAAAAAAGATTTGATTTCTGAATTTTTCAGATGGCTGTGTGGGCTCCAGACTAGTATCCTGTATGGTAAATCAATGAAATTAATTTAAATTGTGATTTCAATCTCTTCTGCAATACAGCTTTTATATATATATATATATATATATATACTTATAGCAGGCAGCAAGAAATTTGTCCTCGCATCAATACTAGTGGTAAGTGATTGCAAAAATCCAAGATATTCTGTAGAATATGAACTTATTTTTTGACAAGGTCAGCAGGATTCAGAATTTGACATTGTTTTTTCAACAGCATATATGCTCACAATTCAAAGCTTATAAAAATTCAATGCCTAATATAAGTAGCTAGTCTGCAAATTCCTGAAAGTACTTTAGCTCTAAAGAAGGAAGAAACAGAAGATATTTTAATCTTAAAATAAATGAACCCATATCTGCGAAGCTGTCTCACTATCCATGATGAAGACGCCTATGAAAATATGAGGCAATCAGTAGGACTCAGAAAATCACTTTGAGCACTTAGTATAGGCTTCTTAACAAAAAGACATTTTGATTTTGCATTCTCATCTATTTGTAATAGCATGTGGTTGTTTTTGTTAATGCGTGCATAATGCTTCATTAGTTTCATATTACAACATCTAGTTTTATGAATTTTATTTGAAATGAGTTACACTTCCAAAGAAATGGTAGGGTGGGGGAAAAACCCTCTTCCTGTCTCTAAAATGCATATGAATTTCATATTGTGCAAAATGAATGGCTTCAATTAGCTCTTTCATAATTACAGTAATATCAAAGGGAGAGTTGGTTATATATCAGACATTTTACTGCAAATTAGCATGAAAAATATTTATAATTAACTAGTTCAATTTGTTAAATATACTGTACTTTTTAGCTGTGGTTAATGTTTTCAACAGATGCAGGATCTTGGAACCAGATTAGCTTCAATAAAGCACAACCTAAAAATCTACTGGGCATAACTTAAATATTCTTCAGAGTTATTAGCTGATGTCCAACAAAGGCTTATGGATGCTATTTCTTAGAATAATGTGATGATAATCAATTACACTTTGCAGTTTCCAAGAGCAATTATTTGCTCTTTTCTGGTCACACAAATAAAACATTGATTTATCTACATAATACTGTGAAAAGGAAGAGTTAAGAAAGAAAGAAGAAAATGTTTTACTTGAAACAGTAAAAATCACATAGCTAAAAGAGAAGAGCTAAGATCCATGAGATTACACAGAGAATATAATATTTCCATTAAAAATAAAGGGATAATACATATAAGGTACATTTTATTCCAATTATATCCAAGGACAAGAAAAAAAATAGTTCTCTACACTTTTAAGATGTTGAACCCTTTGGGTACAAATGATGAATGAGACTTGTCATCTGCTTACGTGGCCCAAGGATGAGTCTGACTTGTCATCTGAATTTAAGAAGCAGGCACAGATGTTTGCAGTGATTGATTATATCACCAATGTAAGTATATTCCAAATAAAATGTATTACTTTTACATAATAATCCATATAGCGACAAATGAAATCTGTCTTATCGGCATAAAAATTTTCAAATACTTCAGCACTCAAAGGGTTAATCATATTTCTCCTATTTTATATATAAAAATTTTTATTTTAGCAATAAATTGACTTCAGCATTTATTTACATCTACTCGCAGTCTACATTCAAATAACTTTGTTTTAGGGTAACACATACCATAAAAAAAATTTAGAAAGGAATAGCATTCTCCATCATTTAATATATTTAAAAATAAATTACTTTTACAAAATTTAATAAAAAGAATATACCTGAAAATTCGTTTTGCTCATATTCAGTAACACAGATGATATAACATCTCTTGCTTTATCAGTCATTCTTCCAGCAACAGCCAATTTTAAGAGATCAACTAAGACTCTTGCATCATCAGAAGATGATAAATTTGTAAAGTCATCAATATCAGAATTCGGTTCTGCATTTTCTGAACAAACCTAATTCATGAAATTAAGAAGAAAGGTTAAAATATTAACATATTTAAATCTGTGAATAATAAATATTTGGAAATATAAAGTGTTACTGGATAAAATACATAAAATTAAAAATCCTGTTTTAACCAGCCTGTATTTAGGTTTATACAGAGGGCGTTTACACATATTCAGAACAATTTTGGGGCTGTTTAATCAATGTTTAACATATAAAGAGTATTTTTTAAATGTTCAATCTGATAGCCTTTTTTCTGGACAAGTGAGCACCATGATTTCCATGAGAGAAAGGTTTTTCATAAAATTTCCAGCGATATTGATTTCCATTCCACTTCCACTACTTTTTAAAGTCCACCAACTGTGGTGGGTTAACCCCTTGAAAACCAGTGTGCGGAGAATGAAAAAACGCAGCCATTGGGCTGAACCCCCTGAAATAGAAAGTTGCCCACCGCCCCATGTATTTTCAGCAGCTAAGCCTACTTTTACACACACACACACACACACACACACACAAAAAAAAAAAGCATATAAAATCAGCATTTTAATTTAATGACTTTAATTTTTGAAGTTACGTACTTAATTTACTAATTATTAATATGTATTAATATAAAGAATATCACACTAATAAATGAAACATGTGAAATACTAAACTTATAACTATAAGCATGAAAACAAATGCTATACACATGAAAACAAAATTACAAATACAAAATGTAAAAGAAAATTAAGCAATAATTATCTGTAAGTAATTAAATTCCAATTTAAAAATTCTGCTGTGTGTGGAATAATTCAAAATAAGAACTGAAACACAGGACAATGACGGCTTTTTCGTTGAGCATATGCCAAGCAAGTAATATGCATTATGCATCATGAAAGTTGAAAGCTTTACCCTTCTGTAATAATGTTGTAAAGTTACTTTTTAATTAAGCAAAAAAGTCTATGTTAAGTTTTAAAATAAATCTAAAAAAAAGCAAGTGGTCTGAGTTTCTCGATGATGGAAGTTCGACGACATTACACCTGCTATAATCAGCTAGATGAGTGTTCCCACATTCTAACATCAACAACATCAGAAAATGAAAACATGCTGGATGCATTTCCCCACATTCTTATAATAAAAAACACAAAAAATCAAAAGAAGACAACAAAACAAAAAAAACAAAAAAAAAAAAAAAAAAAAAAAAAAAGAAATTCCTAATGAAATAAACATGCCGATGTCCCTATAACTTAAAATGCTGTGATGTCCATTTTGTTTACACCAATAAATCCATTAAAACCAGAAGCACAGAACAGAAACTGATGCTCATACATGAAGGTCAAAAGCCACATGATTAACTGATGTGAAAATAGTTACCATTTAGCAGCATCTACTATCATTTAAAAATTCAAAAAAATTGTTTCGTTTTTAAGTTAAGGATACGCGACGCTGGGCTGGTAAGAGTGTAAAAGTTGGGTTGCGCATATGCGAGGCTGGTCCTGAATGGGTTAATGCTTAGAAAGAGATATTTTCAAGACACTAAAGGCACATAATAGCCCTTATATGAAATGTCAGACCTTGCAGGAATATGCTGAAAAGGGATATATGTATCGATTTTAATCTTTCCAAGAAATGCAGTGGTACTTTTTGAATTATGACTTATTGCTTTGTCTTGATAAAACTTCACTCTTTCATTGAAATGAAGTCACTGAAATAAAGAAATGGAATTTTTTCTGTAAATATCAGGTATAGAACTTTCTCTTGATAATATGTTGAGTTGATTTTAACACTTTTTCCCATTCTTCTTGTTTTTAATTTCTTAATGTAAGAAAATCCTGTGACAATTATTAAACTCCTTAAGAAACTTTCTTTGCATGGATGGAACCAGGTCTGTACACTTTTCTTTTTGTTTTCAATAATAAATAAACCTTTTATTGTAGCAGTCATTTAGATAAACATATGATTCATCAAACAAGGGTCACAACATATTTCTGCTAAATAGTTTATCTTCTGCTAATAGTTTTCATACAAAGTTCTCAGAACTGTTCCGCACTCAGCCAAATGTCTCAGCAAAAGTTAGTGACATTATGGTTTCTTTAGTTTTTAAAGTTCTAAATCTTTGTTTATTACTTTATTTATTGTTGCTATGAAAGTATTTAAAGACTGTAACTGATTTCTGCATCAGTGGAGCTTCTCTTGTTAACTTTAGAAATATTAGAAACAATACATATCCTCTTCGAATATTCATGGGACTTTTCTTACATGTAGAAGTAATGATTGATAGTTTCTCCCTTTCTGATTAATTTCACAACGTTTTTGAATTATGGTATTGGACGTGCAATCTACAGCTTGCTTACATGTGACATTTTGAAAGAAGAATAAATTTAAAAGTAGCAGACGATATTTCTCATTTCAAATAATAAGCTGTTGCCAGAAACTTTTATTCTGAAACCTTTGCTTTTTAAAATTCTTTATCGAAACCCTTCTAAAAATGTGTGAACGCCCTCTTTGGTATTCTGGCGTGTAATGTGCACCTATAATTTTAAACTATATTTAAAAAAAAATTTATACGTATTTGCCGTATAATAAGCATCCTTTTCTTTATGAGGATGTGTTATGTCATATTCTTATCTTTTTAAGTTATCAATTCATAGATTTTTTTCAGGCTTTCGAATAATGGTATAGTGAATTAACAAGCGATAAGGGGAACAATATGTGCGAGAGCAATGCTTGAGGAAGTAAATAATTCTGCATATAGGGCAAGTTGTATTCAATGCAGGTGAGTACAAGAAAGTTATTGTAGGGTTTCAATAATATGGGGATATAATTTGGGATCACAATGCACTTCCAACCCAAATGAGTTCAAGGAATTAGGAGTCACATGTTTACTCATCCTGCAATCATTTGAAGCCGTGGCTTCAAAGTGAACATCAAAGGCCTTAATAAATCACAGTTTGCTTTAGTTGAAATATAGTTGATCTAGTGTTCATTTTAATGGCAAATATGGCTCCTACCAAACAAAACAAATACAGTGCTGGTTTCAAATGTATAGTAATTCAGTTTGTAAAAGAAAAAGGAAATTCTGCTGCAGCAAGGATGTTTGGTATTGGTGAAATATCCATACCAATATCCATCGAAGGCCTACATCAGTGGAAAGAAACTGAAATCGCAATGATTAATATGAAAAAGAATAAATATGCTTTGTGAGAAGAAGTAACAAAATGAAATATTCTAGAAGAAGTATTGTTGACTGAGTCCTAGAAAATCCCTAGAATGGTTTAATTATAACAAGAAATAGCATACAATTTGCCTTGAAGTGGCCAAAAAAGAATGCAAATGGAAGTGAAAGCTTTAAAGCAACTTTGAGTTTGTGTAGTCGATTTATGGCATGGAATAATTTAGTTCTATCAGAAAAAACAAAAATTTAGCAAAGGCTTCCAAAAGATTTGGACAACAAATTGGCAAGTTTCCAGAAGTACATTATTCAGCAATGAAGGTAAAAAAATATTTACTATCATATATTGGAAATGCATATGAAACTCTAGCAATATCTGACAGGATAGGATATAAAACAATTGATGTGACAAGAACAAAAACGTTCTACATAAAAGCAACACGTCACAAAAAATCTCAAGTCACCGTAGTGTTTTCTAGATTAGCAGATGGTACAAAATTAAAACCCATGGTTATTTTTAAAAGAAAGATGATGACAAAATTTAATTTCCCAAATAATGTTTTCAATCATGTACATGAGAAAGGATGGATGAACGAAAACAGAGCGAAATTGTGGATAATAAAATGTTCGGCAAATACTGTCCTGTTGCCTTTAAGAATCTAGAAAGTCTTTTAGTTTGAGACAAGTTCAGGTCCCATCTAATGGATAATATGAAGAAATTATTGAAAGAATGCAATACAGATATGGCTGTTAGTCCAAGTGGTTTAATGCTATTAGCTCAGCCCTTAAGTATGTGTGTCACTAAACCGGTCAAAGAAAATTTAAAATGACAGTGGAATACATGACTACCAGAAGGTGAAAAAAGCATTTGCAAAAGGAGGCCAAGTGCATTATGCCAGTCTAGAAATAGTGGAAAATAAAAGCATGGAATGGAATTAAACCTGATGTACTTCAAAAGTCATTTAAAAAATGCAGTATATCTAACAATCTAGATGGAACAGAAGATGATTATTCATCAGAGTAACAGTGACAGTGAAGACGAAATAAAATTCAGTGATGTGCTTGAAGATATAATGGAAGACGATTATGATGAACTTTTCACATTATCCTATAATGAAAATTTTTATGTTCCTTTTAAATAAACAACACTTAGGTACATGTACAAATCTAATTTTTGTATGCTCAACTTTCTTTATTTTTTGAATTAAAAGTGTGCATTATACACCAGAATATATAATTATTTAGAGGTTTACAATGTGAATGTAAAACGAATAACAAAATATTTTTTGAAAAAGTGCTCAAAAGCATTTACAGGTTTCTTTAAAACAGTTAATCTACATTGCAGATGATTGAAACTATATTTTGTGGCATATCATATAAGCCATCATGCAGAAATCAGAACCTATGTGCTTTCTGCTTCATACAACTAATAAATTTACAAAGCTTTTGATGTTGGTTCTCTTGCATCATTATTATAACAAAGGGTTTAAAGCCATTGACACAGAGTGAAATAGTAATGAATATGAGGAAGGAAGAATGGCTGATATCTGGACTGTGTAACTTTGTTTAAGAAGATGTCTAAAGTGATCAAAGCTATAAAAGGGTGATTGGAAACTCTGCACTGTTGATACAAATGCTCTATCACCTACAAAGGATTTGATAAAATATACATGTCACACACTCACAGTACATTACTTAAAGGATTCAACTAAAAATATTTGCATGGTATTACAAAAAACCTACTTCTAAAAGAAATTTACAGTAAAAATAAGTTGTTTTTTTTAATCTGAAGATAATAAATGCGATTATGCAACAAGGCAGAAATAAAAGATTTTATCTTGATTAACAGAAATAACATATCACACAAATTCGAGCAAATAGATGGTACAGAAATTCTAATTAAATTGAAACCACAATATAGCTCTGCATAATCTATGTACCAGTAGCCTCATAACCCAATTACAAGGAACAATTTATGACAAAAGTTTCAATACTATGATGAGGCAGTAACAAATCTATAATCTGATATTGACAGAATTATACCTTAAGCATATCCAGCTCGTTTTAAAGTAACACTGTATTTCTTCACATATTTTTCCTTTCTGCATCCCCTCCTCTACAGAATTTTCAGCAGAATACTTCAGAAACTTCTAATTTATGGCAGTTATACATAATGTTATGGACAGATAGTAAAGTATATTGTGAAATTAAAAAAAAAAAAAAAAAAAAAAAAAAAAAGTACTAAATCAAAAATGTTCCTATTTCTTTGAAATGCAGAATATAGTAGTATTTATATATCTATTCAATTATAAATTTTTTAATTCGCTAAGTTCTTTCCTTCAATCCTCACCTTCAGAAATGGTTTGCAACATGTAATTTTTCCACCAATTTTCAAGAAATAAAATTAATGGAAAAATAATGCATCATTAAGAATTAATTTTTGATAAAAATGGCAATTAAGAATTAATTTGTGCTCAGTGTATTAATTACATGTATTACATGGAAAAATGAGAAATTTCACCCACACTAAGCCAACAGTCATAAAGATGTATTCATAATTATTAGAAATTCTAAAAACTACTATCCATGAATACAAACAAATATTTTTGAGCAAACATTTAAATGAGCATGATATACATCTTTCTAATCATGATAATTTGTATGTAACATAACACTTTAATCCTCAAAATACATCACAATATTGTGAATTTCGCAGTTTTCCAAATTTGCAAAGTTTCCATTTTTAGTTTATATTTTCTTAAAGATTATCTAGCTTAAAATTACACAGAATAACATATATTTGAACTGATGTCAACAAAAGCAGATACTCTACATGTACAACTTTAAGGTTCTTCATCTAAATTGATTTGAAAATACTGTTGAAAATACAGAGTTTAAAAATGTGTGAATGCCCTTTCTGTGGTAAGCATCATATATTCTGGCATATAATGTGCGCCTATAATTTCTCTGTGTAAGGAAATTAAGAGTTGTTAATAACCTCTCTTCATAGGTTCATAACCTCTCTTTAGTACTATAATTCACCATTTCTACATCTGGAAATGAAGTAAATATCTTGCATATTTCCCAGTATAAACGAACATATTAAAAACACTGATTAATACATATCACTGAATATTAATATTAATGCTATGGGAAACTGACATCAAATTTTCACACTTATTTACTTTTGCACTAACTTAGATGCAAGAGATACTAATTTGGAAAACATGCTTACCATAAAACACACATAACTAATTTCAGATAAAAACTTTCAACATCTGAAATTATTTGAGATGTCAAAATGTTTTAGCCAAAATAACTGTTTTCAAGATTTTACACACTTTTACATCAAGGTTCAAGATGTGAAGGAAAATGAGGAAGCTTTTAACACTAACTTGTTCACAAGAAGAAAAGGTTGCAGCTAAAACACTAGCAGCTGTAGGTGATACTTTGGAAGACAGACTTCCAGAACTTGATAAAGAGTTTATAGTAAACATTTCTCTAGATTGATTTCCTTCATCTTCACTTGGAGTCTAAAATATTGCACACAGCTTACATAAATACCAAAAATTATAATACAGTAATACAATGTATATAAAATTCATGTTAATTTAGATAATGTAAATTCTATAGAAAATAACAATAATAATATCATATGCATCAACACATGTATAAACCGAAATTCGAATGATGACAGATGTACAGAATAAAACTCAACATCACAAAATTTATAATCCAAAAGTTTATCAGCAAAGTTTTTTGGGATGCATTTTCCTACATTAATGTAAAAACAAGCTATGCACCATGGAATATTCTTAACTGCAGAAACACATTTCATATATATTAATGCCATAAGTATGATAACTTCATCCATAAGTAGCTTATAATTCCCACTGAAACCTTTTGATTTTCATCCTTAAACCTTTTAAACCAAATAAAAGCCATTTTCAGATGAAATGCGATTCTTGAATGCAGCTTAAAACTCAGTTATCATAAACTGTCACAGACCTAAAAAGAAACACCTACACTCCTATTTTTCATTCAGACACTTTTAAGACATTTTAAATTCTTCAAAAGCTGAAATTTCAAAGAACTCCTCAAGAGCTGATCATAAATCATCATAAAAAAGTATTCTTCAACACTAAAATCAGATCATAAGTTATGAGAAAAGGGAAAATATTCAATATATTTTCATGTTTCACCCACCATGAAATGTCTAATTTGCAACCTTCCACCCACATGCTTTTTAAATAGACATGATTGTAAAACTTTAAGATTCAGTTAATTATTTGTGCAGGTTTTAAAATATCAAGCAGGTTGCAGCAGCATATTTAAAAATTGCATATTGAAAATAAAGCATATTTAAAAATTGTAGCAAGCTGAAGCAGCAGCTGAAATATCTGTGAAAAGCAGCATGTGAAGGAAACTGCAAGTACTTTCAATAGGCATATTTTGATAAAGTATTCAAAAGCTGAATGAGGAACACATGTGTTTTAATTTGAAATTTTGCATTTCAAAAAGGCTAAGTAAGAAAAAGCATTTATGAGTTTTAATCGGAATTATTTAAGCTTTTTCATAATTATATCTTTGGAAACTTATTTCCAAGTTTTTTTTCTTTTTTTAAAGAAAAATACAGTTTTCTAGATGAAAAGGAATACAGTGGGAAAAAAATAATTTCTTATATGCAGGGGAAAATGTAGAATTATGATTAACATAAATGTAGAATCCTGATTAACATATAAGAAATTTTTTAATTAATCATTTTAACTAATAATGTGATTTTTAACATGTTTATTTTAAATGTTCCTTGCTTTAATGTCTGTAAGCTGTAAATCTGATTTCGTATAAAACTACTTTTACGTGGTTTTCGGCTTTTTATTCGTACCATAGCAGTGTGTCTTGGCCACATTACATTTCTGAAATGTTTCAACTGTTACTCCTTATTCTGACAAGACAATTGACAGGAAGGGGAATAAATCAACTTAATTTGGGCCTTAATCCTTACTGTATCTCTCCGTTTGGGGCCCAATTGACAATATTTCGCTTTTTATAACCATTTGGTGCTTTGCTTCTGTTACAACCGTGGTTTGCTGCAAAATGCTATATTAAGAATAAAAATTGTAACTCTATTTATTAAGCTTGTAAAAAATGCTATATTTTATAACTGATGATGAAGTTAATTCAGTTACTAATGACATTAAACATTATGATCTAATACAATATTTTTCAAGCAGTACCTCTAAGATAAAGAATTAAAAACACTATTATTAATTTATCAGTAACTTGGGTACAATAACCAAAACATGTAGAAACTTTTATCTGTTTCAATGACTTCTAATAACTGTTAACATTAAATAATTAATAAAAAAAAAAAAAAAAAAAAGAAATTACTTTGAATAAGTTACCAGTACATTTTCTTACACTGATTTCTATAGCATTAGAGTTAGTTTTATACTAAACTTAAATATGACAAAAAATTAAAATTAATATTAGAAAAAAATTCATTTATGATGCAAATAGAGTAAAATAGCAAAAACTGTTACAATGCACAATAAAATCACCTTTGATCCTTTATTGACAAAGGAATATTTGTTATTTCGAGATAGGCTAAGTTTCATCAATTCTAGCCCTTCATCAAATTTTGGACTAACACTTCTCTCCTTTTCCACATTCAAAGTCAAATCATCTATTACATCTGTATGGGGTAGAAAAGCTGAAATAACAGCTTCCCTGTTTAAAAAACAAACAAATAAAATATGCTTAAGCTATTAATCTAAAGTTTTCCTTGGAATTAATAGATTTCAAGAAAAGTAAGAGCATGGTTTAAGAAAACAATAGGAAACACAAAATTTATCAAATTGCATAAAAATATAAAAATCTGAAGAAATAAATTTTGACTATATAAGTATTCAATCTTTTTATTTTTAGCAAGCTATTATAAACATATTGTCAAAGCCATTTTAGATGTTTCCTTCATATCAAGGATGATCCAATGAAATCAACTACACTAGAAGTAAATTACACTTTAAATTATAAAAATATATACCATATTTACAACATACTTCCACCCCAGTATTTTAGCATGATTAAAAAATTTTCAATACGATGGTACATTTTCCCCTTGCAAGAAAGACCTATTTAAAAAAAATATTTGATCTGTGTTCTTTGGAAATGCATTTCAAGTTCTTCACACAAAACCTAAAATTTCTAAAAAAAAGAAAGGCCATCTTCTTCTCCTTCTACAGACACAGAAAGGTAAATGGAATTTTAGATGAAAATATATCGCAAATTGGGCACTTCGGCAAACATTAGTTATCATTCCAGTCGAGTGGGCTAGATGGCAAATGAACAATAGCACAACAGTATATTCTGAGGAATGGCTAAAATAGTAAATTACTTGGTGGAAATTATTAAATAAAGTAAACATAGACAATAAAGACAACAACCTCTGAAGATTCGGTTTTCAGGGTGCATTCATAAAAAGGAAAGTATAAAAGGTCTGGAAGCCATGGGTATGGACAGATTCCTTTCTCTCAAAAGTGCAAAAATATTGCAAATGCCCAATGTTTATACCATTGTCTGTCTTCCTGAAATAATGACTGATATTTTGGTTAGTGATCCTGGTTGCCACATCGCTGGACCTGGGTTGGAATGCCAATGAATACATGGATGTTTGCAAATGTAAAGTGTCTGTGCAAAATGGAACTCAGAAGCACTCAGAATACTGACAAGCTGAAAGAACTCTGTTGTGGCTTGGTAATAAAGGAAGAGAGGAAACCCTCAGATCCATACCCTGGGATGTTTTCCATCAAAATTAGGGTTGAGTTGTACACCTAGTACATTTAAACCAGTATAAATAATGGTGAAATTTTGGTGTTCCATACCCTTGCCATGTCGTTCTCCTTGGGATCCAACTTCAAATATTAGAATACAGTGGACAATGGTAATACTCAACACAGCTACCCAAATCCACATCTTGAGATCACATTCAAGAATTTCAGGCAGTTCTGAAATGGGCTGTTCAAAGTTGCGGAGTACAATGGGTGGAAAAACATTATCGAGAGTTCAAGTAAGAGAGAAGTTTCAAACGTTTTTGGAGTAATGGTGCTTAAAAGTAGAACTCACAGTTATATTACAGAATTTAAACAGCAAATGTCAAAAACATGTCACAATCAATAGATTAAAGGCAAGTTCAAACAATAAGAAGTTAAAACATTCTCATCAAATAGTAGAGAACACAAAAAATTAACTAGTGAAGACCAGTTTCAAAAAAGTAAAGCTTGTCAAAGACCTAAAATTTCACCTCCTGTAGAGCTGTGTCTTAACACCAGGGTACCTGGGCCGAAGGCCCTACCCCTTGTAGAACAATTAGAAAGTTCTGAATTACGTTAGAAAATAGCCAGTCCATTTCTAGAGCTAAGTTGGTAAAAACAAAATCACAAGTTAGTTGAGTAAGGAATTAAGTAAAAAATTTGAGATGGAGAAGCTAAAGATGTGACAAGTAGCATTTAAATTGATTAAAATATTAATAGCAGCGAGTAAGGCAAAGCCGTCAAGCTGGTGAGTAAGTCCAGGAAAAATCAGGAAATAACATGACTCTTCATGAAGTTGTAAGGTTTTTTTTTCTGATATCGATAATGCAAAATAGTCCAAATACTAATAGACAAAAAGTGAATTATCATTATGTCTGATGTAACTACAGAGATCTGAAAAGGTCTACACAAACCTTTTTACTTAAACAGAACTTAGAATATAAGTGCCCAATCTTGTGCTAACAGAATCAATCACAACTTGTGGTGATGCAAATAAAGTAACAGTCGAATTACAATTTAAAATGTAGACTAGTAGTTGAGACTGCACAATTAAATTTAAGTCTAAGCTGGCTCAGAATTTTAACAAGCATATCAAATTCAAATGTCAGCAGCAATAAATAATGCAAAGCTGAACTTATCCAGAGCTGGCAGGAACTACGTAACATGCCCATGAGAGGCAGAAACACACTTTGTCTTATGATAAAAAATAATAATCAGCTTAAATACTTTCTAATTTCATTTATGTCCTGGAGAGAAAACAGGAAGAAGTTAGAGTAAAGGCTGAAATTATAAAATAACTGGTTTATTTAAATAATAACCTTATAAAATGTTAAGTTATAAAATCTAGCATAATAAGAATGATGACATAAAATGGAGCATTAAAGACAATAATTAACACTATTAATCATATGGAATATATTGATCAATATACTAATTTTAATCTTATAATTTCTTCACTAATTTTATCTGTCAGTTTCCAAGTTGTGAAATAAGTAAAAAGGAGAGAATTCACATGAGCAAATACAGTATAAAAATAAAACAGTTGTTTTAGTATTAGGAAACCTGGCATCCCTATCATATACGAGAGAAATTATTAAAATCCTATGCAACTAGCTTGCTTAATTGCCAAGAACCAAAGCCAGGGTCAATAACCAATATTCCTTGGCAGTCACATAACCAAGGCTGTGAAAGAAGTTCAAATGACATGGTGGAAGTGAAATGCAGGATGAATGAAGAATAATTTTTAAAGATTTATGTTTATGAATTTTAATGGCATACTTATGGGTCAAAAATCAATAAAAAATAACCCCCTTTACTTTTTTTTTTTTGTTTGTTAAAAATGTACTTTAATACATTTACTACACTGAAAAGAAAATGTCAAATGATCTAACAATTTCAAGTGGCATAGAAAGGCCTTAAACATTTTTGGCAGTTCTTTAAATACCACATCCACCTTAGTGTTTATTTACTTCTTAACTGCTTTGATTGTTTATTGAAAATCAGTGAATAGGAGAAACAAAATAAGCTGTGACTGCAGTTGTCAGCAAACTCTGTTCATAAGTCCTAATCTGATTGATTTTAAATAGTGAGAAGTTTGAAATATATTTTTTTTCCCACTTTCGAACTTTTACGCTTTTTTTCTTTTTTTTTAGTTAGCTCAGAAAACATTTCTGTGTGTTATGATACAATTACACGCCAAACAAGTACTAAATTAAAAGTCAAACAGCAAAACATTTGCACTTTTGCAGCTGAGGACGATGTTTGGTAAAACCATCGAAACTAGTCCTGTGAAAATTTGAAAATATAACACTGATTTTTGTTGTTTGACTTCTAAATTATTTCTGTGTGTATTAGCAGTCAATTTTGTTGCACCTCTTCAGAAACAGACATTATTTGTGATAGATATGAACAGAAAGAGATGAAATAATGAAAATAATCAAGTTCCTGACTGCAGTATTATTGAAAATCACACTGGAACAAATATTAAAACTCTTTAATTAATTATAATATTCCCAAATTAATTACAAAGTTATGTACGAGACCAAATTGCAAACACAAGAGAAGAAATCATGCATGTACAGGCAGTTTTAAATAAAAAGTTTCTATGTCTCTTCAAATTTAAAATTATACTTTTTGGAAAAATAACCCTCTTTTGCCATCACACAGACGTACCAGCACATTTCTCGGCTGGCATGCGGACACGAAGGAGCATTTTCTCATTCACATGTCAAAGTTTTGGAATGTTTCAGAAACTAATATTTTCAGCACAAGTTGGTATTATATGTCCATTGGATTTGAGATATATGTAGAATTGACCTTCTATTCGAAATCAGACAAAGATGGCTCACATGTGCTTGGATTTTGCTTATATAAACAGAAGGCAAAAGGCATGTTCTCATCTCAGAGGCTTCCTGATGGCTCTTTACTCATACACTTGGTATTTAATGATGAATATAACAGGAGTTTGTTTCCCCCTCTAGAGAAATGGGCGTTTGGGTTTGCAATCATTTCTAACAGAGAATCATACCTTGGGTATGTGAAATGTTTCAGTTTTGAATGTTACCGTGTCAAAGCTCTGAAATTTTTAGCACATTATGTTAATTTAATTGGGTTATATCTAAGTTTATCATTCATATGTGAAAAGAAACAGTGTTAAAATATACTTCATGATTATATGGGGTAAGAGTCGTTAAATCTCTACTTTAAGAACTTTCTGGTCAAAGGCACCATTTATATATTGACAGTTTTTCATGTCTCCATCATTGGCAGATGAACTCTTTAGACTTGGAATAAATACTTGTGGGACTGCAATGAGAAGGGAAGCAATGACTGAAAATTCTCTTCGCCCAAAATGAAAATTGTAGAGATGTTGGTTTTGCAGAAAAGAAAATAAATTAAACTGCTTTCAAAGACAGACAGAAAATATTTTGTTAAAATGTAAGCTCTAAGAACGTGTGATGGCGATGCTTTGCTTGTTCACACTCAAATACTTCAAAAATGCAAATAGGTTATTATGAATGAAAGGACTGTCAGGGTTCGTATACATTTCTGCACACGGAAATTAAGTACTTTTAAGGAGAATTATTGAAATAATTTAAGGACCTATGAGCAAACGGGAACTGAATAAATTCAGGTAAAAATATTATTTATGCCTGAACTTCACTTTTGTAATACCATCCTTAAAAAAAAATTGTAAGTAGGATGCATTATTATTAAACATAAATTAATAAACATAATTATTAATAAGTTTCAGAATAAAATAAACTTTATGAAATTTATCAAGTAGCATTAAATATTTTATATTTATAATAGTTGGACATATTTGAAAAAAAGATAAGTGACATTTTATTTACGTTTTACTAAAAGTTAGCTTTCTGTTGATTTTTTTTTTAATGTATCATTTTGTCACATACTTGC